ATCTACACCAATGCATTTGATGAAGAAAAAATATATATTAAATATTTATAAAGTTTACATCTACACCAATGCATTTGATGAAGAAAAAATATATATTAAATATTTAAACTTTGAAATTTAAAAAAAATGATAAAAATGCAAATGCAGATGTCTTTTGACTTGAATTTTATTTCTAAAAAAAAAATTATTTTTATTGAATTTATATGTTTTAATAAAATGAGAAAATCTTAGCCTTTCAAAACTTGTTGTTTTTTTATTTGAAGTCAAATTTTCTAACAATTATCTCTGCTTGTTAACATCAAAGCTTGAAATCAATTTTTGAATCCTGATTTTATATTTTCTAACTATTATCTCTGCTTGTTAACATCAAAGCTTGAAATCAATTTTTGAATCATGATTTTATATTTTCTAACTATTATCTCTGCTTGTTAACATCAAAGCTTGAAATCAATTTTGGAGTCCTTATTCTATATTTTCTAACTATTATCTTGTTAAAATCAAAGCTTGAAATTTATTTTTGAGTCCTGGTTATATATATTTTTTAAATTTTGTACACGAACTCTTGCTAGTTGACAATCCAATATTTAATCATTAAGTTGTTTTCCAAGGATGACCAAAGCCGCAAGTCACTGGCAACTTTAGTCTTCAAAAATCTACAATCTGATTCTATTATCACATCTTCCAGGTCTACATTTGTGTTGCATAAACAATTAAAAATAATAAAAATATTTTAATGCATTTAAATGTATTTAAAAGTTGAAATGTTGAAAATAGTTACTTGCATGACTGCTCGACATCATTCTTGTGATTATTAACAAATAATTAATTAAAAATATTTATATAATTAATAACTGGATAAATTTTAGGATGTAAAGAAAATTTTTTTTTTCAGTGATCACCTTTGTTGTGGTTATGTAAAGTCGTTTACAATTGCAAATGCTTGTAACATTAAAAAGACAATAAATTTTACACAAAAATACCATACGACATACAAATAAATAACACTGCTGATTATCAAGGGTCCAAAGAATGGTAAAGCTTTTCTAAATATGCTTCATGCTTTTCTGGGGTCATTTTTATTCCCTGATAATCTATTTAGTTCGACAAGCGCTCACCTTATCCGCGATTTTATAAGTTTGCACTAAGCAAAAACGAAGTATTAACAGTTTGGGCCTAATAACACAAATATAAACCACCAGAAGATGTATGCAGCTGTAGAGACACAAAATAGAGTTTAACTAAAGAGTAATCATAATAAAGCTAAACTGGAAAGCCCCCCAATGAAAACACACAATGGTGATACTCAAAAATACATACCATAGGCAAAAACTGATGAATGAGAGAAAACAATTCCATAATGCAAGGTAAGTCAAGAAGCTTCATATACACCCCCCCACCCCCTGGGCTAGACCTAAACAAAGATTATTACCATCTATTAAAGTATTTAAAACCAAAAACAATGTATTCAAAATAAAAAGATAACCTTGATATCAATAACCAAATAATGTATATGCAAAAGATGCTAAGAATCACTTGCACTTGACACCAGACCTAGGTTACAATTATTAGGGTGAATAGCAAACACAACAAGAATAACAGATATATGTAGCATACTTTTATAACAAATGTATTCTTGGTTGTAATGTACTGAACTATTTTACTGGATAAGTTTAGACATATCATGATCTCGTTAGATTTTTTGTTATCATATTTTCTACTAACTACTTTTGTACTAACTTCAAACCATCTTAATTTAGTTTCGATGTTTATGAGTGGTATTTATTTATTATATTTGTAAGATATTACAGCCATAATAGAAACCGTAAGTTACACCTTAATATTTATTACTATTTTCTATTTTTTTTTTTTTTTTTTAAATTTTAATTCACCTCCTCAAGGCCGAGAAGGCCACTACAGACGAGGAGGCTACTTATTTGTGGCTATAACCCTCTCTTAACTCTATAACTCCGAAACACGAACCTTGACGAACAAAGCCGCTGCGCTGAGAAACGAGTTGAGCGCGGTACTACCAGGGACGTGGTGGGGATCGAACTCGGAACCACTCGTTTATGAAGCGAGCGCTCTACCACTACACCACTACCGCATTTAGAGCGCTCTACCACTACACCACTACCGCATTTGCTTTGTGTTATTTCTATACATTAAAATTGTTTATTTTAATACATGCAAATGCGTGCATGTTTACACATTTTTCTCTTCTAGTGTAAGTGTACATGATATTTATATGTCCAGGTATTTACATGTTTGTCATACCACGCGCATTCCTCGCCGCCATCATGAGATCTCTAAAATGTTGTAGCTATATTGAAAACTAGGATAGGGATTGGGAATTTTGGCTTTTGTAGTGTAGTACTTTTATATTGCAATAATGACTAGCATGATGAAGAGTACAGGTGGTGAGATCTGTTGCAAGAACACAACCCTGGCAAGTAGTGTTAATGCAGGTCTTGGGCTCTCCAAAACGTCATTGGTAATTGCAGTGCATTCCTGAGGAGGGGGATCACCATTCATGCACTACTTAATTCTACTTGTTTATTATGGCACCAACATTTTCTTACCTTTTACATTTATGAATTTTAACGCTTTGTGAGCTTTATATTACGAATTTGTAACATTAATGAATTTATATATTTTTATATTACACAGGTGGTTATCAGTTTTTAATTTATCATCTAGAGTTTAGACCATAAATAGTACCACATTTATTAGCATATTTTTTCTTTTTATATTGCCCAAACTATCATTTATTATCATTTTACATACAATTTTATTACCTACTTATATTGTTATTACATTCATTGACATCAAATAGTCTTTACATTCATTGACATCATTTACAATCTGATTCTATTATCACAACTCCCAGGTCTATGTAACTGGACGGCTCCGTAGATCACTTTTTGTGATCTTTGTGTTGCATAAACAATTAAAAAGTCATTATGATATTATACTGAAATAGACATCTACAAAAGTCTTTGTAGATGCCTATTTCAGTATAATGTCATCAATAATGTTTATGCCATAATTGAAAAAAAAAAAATTGAAGAGTGATTTTATTATAGGGTAGGTTTTTCTAAGCAAAATTCAAATAAAAAATACTTAAAAAAAATTTTGAGGCAAAATAAACATTTTAAAAAAACTAACCTGAAAATGAATTTACTAATTAAAAGATAATTTTTTTTTTTTAATATGTAAAACAACTTTCCATACTAGATATTTTTGTAAAATAAACAAATTTGTCACTGACTATATGAAAAAAAGTTTTTACTAAAAAACCAAACTAGGTAAGAATTAGTTTTTTGAATTAGATTTTTCCAAAACAAAAATAACAACAAAAAGATTTTATGTAAACATAGTAAATTTGGACAAATTGATTGGCCTCCATAAAATTTTTTGATGTTTTAGATTTAATACTTTCAGGCAATTCATTGACATGTTTTAAATTTCATTTAATAAACGCAATACCAAATGCCGATCTGGATTTCAAAGACTGATACTTTCTGCTTTTTACAAAATCAGGCTCCAAATTTTAAACAATCATAATTTTAGAGCACTAAAAAATTATTAGATGAAATTTAAAACATGTCAATAAATTGCCTGAATGTTATATCTAAAAAATCATATCTAAAACATCAAAAAACCTTATGTTGGGAGCCAATGGATTTGTCCAAATTTACTATGTTTACATATAATTAAAAAAAAAAACATGATGGATAATAAATATTTCACTAAAACTAAACTTTAACATCAACTAAACAGTTTTATAAAATGTTTATTAGATTTAAAAAATCTAAAATCTAAGATCACATCTTTGTGCTCTTTTCTTGCACTAATATAACCATTATACCTTTGAAAACCACAAACGACAACTGCTGTTTTAGTCACTTGCTTTTCGAATCTTTTACAAGTCTGGGTTAGAGGGAAATAAAGTATTTCCGTAGAATTTTTTGCTTTCTCTAAATGTTTTTTTGTGAAACAATAGAATGCCCCACCTTGATTCACATATGAAAGTATACTTGAACCACAAACTGAAAGAACTTTTTGCATTATTAAAGTATTATCAAAGAGTTGCTTGATCGATTGAAAGCCACCTGTTGCGGCAAAAATGACCACATTGGTTAACAAGCAAAAAATTTAAAGGACCTGATTCAAATCAAGAAATTAACTTGTAGTTCAGTGAAGTGTCGGTTGACTTTTAATCAGAGGATCAATCTAACTAATGGATTTAAACTTTTCTGATTTTTTTGGTTTATATACCATGATTATAGTCTTCCTATGGGCCTATTAAATCCATCCTTGGAGTTTTTAGGTCCATTAAGATTTGCAATTAGTTGTCTTAAAGACACACATGTAAATTGATTATCTCTAGAACAAATAAATAAAATGTGAACTCGTCATCAACACAAAGTAATATGTTGCACCTACATTTTATCTAGCAATTTTAACTTTTCTTAGTACATCTCTCAGTGTAGGAACTTCAGTTTCTAACCAATCTTTTTCTACTCCAAAGTATATAGTCAAATTAGTTGTAGAGAAACTTCTAGATTGTTTTAATTTTGAATTCTTTATAACACAATATTTTAATTTGTTTCTTTTTTGCTGTAAAACTAAAAACATTATAGTATAAAATTATGAGAAAAATTCAAAAAAAAAATTTTTGTTGTCGTAGTCTTTTAAATAACTCCACTACTAATACTAAGCAAATACCAAGTACTTAGTACTGTGTTCTATTATTAAAATTTAAAAGATTTAAGTAAAACAAAATTTTTGTTGAAGCTTTATTGTAAATATGAAGTTTTTATCATTTTTTTACATTTTTCAATTTGATTTTTATAAAAAAAATTTAGTTAAATATTGAATCTCTAAACTTTAACGAAATCACTCCCCATATGTTCTTTTTAAATAAAATTTTGTATGATGTAAATATAGAACTAAATCAACATATTTACATTGATATGTATAAAAAAACCACAACTAACCTTGAATGTCCCTCCAACACCTTTATTGGGGAAGATGCAAACCTTAAGTCCCACATCTATAAGAAGTGCTATAAACATTCAATTTTTCTTAACATTTTAAAAACTATAGCTATATAAACTTTAACTAAAAAAAATTTAATTTAAATAAAAAATTGTTTAACATTTATTTATTTTAATTTAAATAGAAAAAATGAGTTAACTCATTTTTTGTTAATGATCTCATCTTATCATCATCACGAAATAAATGTGAAAGTAGATAAATAACTAAAAAAAAGTACTCTTCAATTTTTATTTCTAACCAAGTAATAACTTTAATACAATAATATAAGAAGATCAAATATAAAAAAAAAATTTCGAACTTTTGCTTTGGTGGTACCCATAAGCTTGTGCACAGAATAAGAATTGAAGCCATTTGATGCTTTTTTAAATGATCTTTAATATTTCTGCAAAGTTTTTTTGTTTTTTTCATTTTTCTTTTAATGATGACCCAGTACTTTTCAATAACTCTTAATTCTGGGCAGTTTGGAGGATTTTCTGTTTTAGGCACAAATTTCACATTATCATTTTTATACCATTCCAAAGCTAGTTTACAATAATGAATTAAAGCTAAATCTGGCCAGAACACAGGTCTCTTATCGTGTGATTTAATGAGAGGTAAAAGGCGTTTTTGTAAACAGTCTTCAACATATATTTGACCCGAAAAATTTTTTTGTAAAAAATTTTTTGAGTAAACTACATCAAATACAAAGTTTGAGTTTCAAATTGAATTTTTTTGCTTACAAAGTGTGATTTTTTATTTTTTTGCGTAACAGCCTGATTTTTTTTGGAGTACTTGAGATTATGTTTTAACTATACAAATGGCTAACAACTTGTCAACTTTATAATATGTTATTTTATACTACAACAATTGTTTTGTTTTTAGTTTTTTTGCATTAAGCAGAATCTTAGTATTATAAATATGAATATAAATATTTCATAATTATAATAAAGTTATAATAGAATTAGTAAAAAATAAAACAAAAATTTTTCTTTTCTTTTCTAACACAAATATGCAGTGAAGATTTTTTCCCTAAAATTCTCGGAAATACTGTGTAACTGTATTTCTGAGAATTTGTGTGTAACTATAACATTAATGACAGTTAAGTTTGCAAAAATAATTTTTTTTTTACAAAGTTGTTTATAAAAGAAAAGCATTATTATTGTAACAAAAATGAAAAACCCAAAAGGGCATTTCCATTTCTGTGCATGATTTTCTATTTTTCTTTTTTTTAGCAATTAAACAATCATAGCATAATTAATATCAGCAGTAAAGCCATAATTATTAAAACTATTGTTGACATTGTAGAAAATTTTTTGTACAATAATGCAGAACCTGGTGAGAGTATTCAAAGACACTTAAATGAATCAGATTTAGATTTAAATAACAATCTCATTACTGTTAAACCAAATGCTAAATTTTCAATGAAGGAAAACAAACGGACAAGAATAAAGGAATAACAGTTCTAGAAGAAAGTAACACAAAAGGTCTAAAAGAAGTTTTAAAAAAAGAGTTAAAGTACTTTCGACAAGAAAATATACAAGGCAAGTACATTCAAATAGTTTTTGACTATTTGATGACCATTCGTCTAACAAGTGTGAAACCTGAAAGAGTATTTTCAGGAACTGGACTAATTTGTACTAAAATTAGGTCTCGATTAGGAGACAAGACATTGGATAGTTTAAACTTTCTACAAAGCATGAATATATAATGATATTTAATAAAAATGGTATCATAAAAATTGTATTGTTTTATTGAAATATAAAGTTTATCGGTAATTTACCGATTTACCGGTATTACAATTTTCATTTACCGAATTACAGATAAATCAAAAAGTCGGTAAATTTACAACCCTATTATCACATAATCAAAATAACAATTATCACATAATCAAACCAACAATTATTTTTTTATTTTATTTATGGACATTTTATTAACTTTTTTAAACTAAAAAATGAATTACCACAAAACAAGTTTAATTTATTAATTAGGAAAAACAAATCTAGAAGTGTTATTTTGTAAATGAATATATACATTTGGAATGTCTATTTTGCTTCAATTTTTTGTTTTTTGTTTTTTAATATTAAATAAATAATTTTACCACTACACTTTTTATTACATGTTTATAACATGTTTTTTTATTATAATTTTGTTATAGCATGTTTTTTGGTTACAATTTTGTTATAACATGTTTTTTTTGTTATAATTTTGTTATAACATGTTTTTTTTTGTTATAATTTTGTTATAACATGTTTTTTTGTTATAATTTTGTTATAACATGTTTTTTTGTTACAATTTTGTTATAGCATGTTTTTTTTGTTACAATTTGGTTATAGCATGTTTTTTTGTTACAATTTTGTTATAACATGTTTTTTTGTTATAATTTTGTTATAGCATATTTTTTTTGTTACAATTTTGTTATAACATGTTTTTTTTTTGTTACAATTTTGTTATAACATGTTTTTTTTGTTATAATTATGTTATAACATGTTTTTTTGTTATAATTTTATAACATTTTTTTTTTTTGTTATAATTTTGTTATAACATGTTTTTTTTGTTACAATTTTGTTATAACATGTTTTTTTGTTACAATTTTGTTATAACATGTTTTTTTGTTACAATTTTGTTATAACATGTTTTTTTTGTTACAATTTTGTTATAACATGTTTTTTTTTGTTATAATTTTGTTATAACATGTTTTTTTGTTATAATTTTGTTATAGCATGTTTTTATGTTACAATTTTGTTATAACATGTTTTTTTGTTACAATTTTGTTATAGCATGTTTTTTTTGTTACAATTTGGTTATAGCATGTTTTTTTGTTACAATTTTGTTATAACATGTTTTTTTGTTATAATTTTGTTATAGCATATTTTTTTGTTACAATTTTGTTATAACATGTTTTTTTTGTTACAATTTTGTTATAACATGTCTTTTTTGTTATAATTATGTTATAACATGTTTTTTTGTTATAATTTTGTTATAACATTTTTTTTTTTTTTTGTTATAATTTTTTTATAACATGTTTTTTTGTTACAATTTTGTTATAACATGTTTTTTTTGTTATAATTTTGTTATAACATGTTTTTTTTGTTACAATTTTGTTATAACATGTTTTTTTGTTACAATTTTGTTATAACATGTTTTTTTTGTTATAATTTTGTTATAACATGTTTTTTTTGTTATAATTTTGTTATAACATGTTTTTTTGTTATAATTTTGTTATAGCATGTTTTTTTGTTACAATTTTGTTATAACATGTTTTTTTTTGTTATAATTTTGTTATAACATGTTTTTTGTTATAATTTTGTTATAGCATGTTTTTTTGTTACAATTTTGTTATAACATGTTTTTTTTGTTATAATTTTGTTATAACATGTTTTTTTGTTACAATTTTGTTATAACATGTTTTTTTTGTTATCATTTTGTTATAACATGTTTTTTTTTGTTATAATTATGTTATAACATGTTTTTTTTTGTTATAATTTTGTTATAACATGTTTTTTTTTGTTATAATTTTGTTATAGCATGTTTTTTTGTTACAATTTTGTTATAACATGTTTTTTTTGTTATAATTTTTTTTGAACATGTTTTTTTTTTGATGCAGTGTTACATTTTATAACATGTTTTTTTTTGATGCAGAGTTATTACATGATTACAAGGAATTTAAATAATTTTTTTAAAAATATATATATATATATATAAATTATAAGGAAATTTCTGTTTTCACTATTTTGTATCTCACAATCTGTTGCTTATATAATGCTGATGTAACTATTATAAAAAAATATTTTTCTTAACTAAAACTTATAAATATAAACAAAGACATTGCAAGAGTTATATTGCTTCAAGCATAAATTCTTCTATAGATATATTTCTGTTATTAACATTAATACAATATAGAGTGAGTTTAGATCTCTCGTTATTAAATATATTTATACTTGATAATGTTATCAAGTATATTTATTCTTGATAAGGATTCTAAACTCCCTAGAAGTATTATCATGAAAAATTAATAAAAGAGTTATATCCATAGGAGAACCATTTTATTTAACTATAAAAAAATAAACACTTCATAAGATGTTATAAAGTTTGTAATAATTAATTTTTTTTTCATTTTTTTGATTAAATCAATCATTATAACAAAACAATCAAACAAAAAATTAAAATATAAAAAGTGGCACTAATATAAAATAAAATTCAATGTGTACTTTTTTTTATACTAATATATATATATATATATATATATATATATATATATATATATATATATATATATATATATATATATATACACATATATATATATATATATATATATATATATATATATACACATATATATATATATATATATATATATATATATATATATATATATATATATATATATATATATATATATATATATATATTAATTCAACAATTATTTTTCTTATTGTTTGTTATTAAGCGCAAGAATATTTATTTAGAAATTGTTTAAAATATTGTTGCACTTGCAAGATGATTAAAAAAAGTTTTTTTATTAAATTTATTTTATGATTTCTTTTTTTACGCGTCATATAACATCTTTTTTTCTTCTTTTGTTGAACATTTTTGATGGAAAAGTAATAATAAATGTAAAAATAAAAATAAAAATTTCTTTGTTTTTTCTTAACTTATTGCATTTGTAAATAACGCTTATGTCAAATGTTATTGACATTAGCGTGAATAACATTTGACATTAGCATCATAATTATTATTAATATTATCTTTATATATATTATATTTTATGTATACTTTATTTCATTCTAAAAAAAAAAAATTACTTGGATAACTGGATATCGATCATCTTCATTTGAAATCAAAATTTGAGTAGACACATCTGGATGCCATGCAATTGATTTGTAATGAAACTAATAACAAATTTTTAAAAACAGATGTTAAAGAAAATTTAAATATTTAAAAAAAAAAAAAGCATTATGCATGTTTGTATATGTGCATGTGCATGTGTATGTGTGTGTTATATTTTTATTATGTTTTTAAATTTAGAAAAATTTTTTAAAAAAATTCAAAATACTATATAAACATTTTTATTTATTTACAAAGTAAAAAGTCCCAGCCTTGAGTTGGCACTTTTTATATTGGAAGTTGCTAGTGAAATAAAGAAAACTGTTATATATGTTTTCCATATATGCGAGAACAAGATATTAACAATATTAAGAGTTTGTTAGTCAAAGATTATGATAGTAGTTGTTAGTCTAAGATTTTGATTAGGGAATAGTTTTAAAGTTTAAAGAATCAGAGTGATTTTTAGTGATTTTCAAAATAGGAATGACAGTGAAAAAAAAACTTTTAAAAAAACCAAATTTGTCAACAACTAATTATTTAAATAACTTTTTCAAATGTTAAATTTGTTTTAAAAAGCAAAGAAAGAACTTTTTTAACATAAACTTCAGCATGATTTTTCATTTCTAATCACAGATGAATAATTCAATTTTATAACTAATTAACTTAAATAACACGAATTTTAAACTGTTAAAGAAATAATATTTTACCATTGCTGATTGATCACCAATTTTAATAATTGGCTCACTCTTTTTCAGGTCCCAAATAACAACTCTGCCAGTTGGTGTACTTGACGCTAAAATATGTTGCACTTGATTATTCCAAGCTAAGCAACTGATTTGATCTAGCGGAGTTGTTTTAGTTCCTGGAGATAGTGGTTGCTCTGGATGCTTTAGATCCCAAATTAATATTTCTGAATTGGATGATCCAGATGCTATGAGATTACTTTGAAATTTGTTTATGTCTAAAGCTTGTACAGGCCCTGTGTGATCACTAAGAGTATGAACATTACATGATTTATTTTTTCTAGATATCACAGCAGATGCATCAATTACACACACATCACCACTATCTGTACCACCAACTATCAATCCATTTAAATACTCTGAAGAAAACCCAAATTCAGACCAAAGTAGTTTGTGAAACCTGAATTACAATAAAAATGTGCTCTTGAATACATAGAATAACAATATTTTATACCATAGTAAAAATGCTGATCATTGATACTGAAGATATTGCTAGTAAGTAAAGTATATTTTTCATGTGTATATGTACATTAGTATTTTAGGTACAGTAAAGTTGATAAGACAATTTAAAATTTATTGTAACCCTTTGTTTTTATAACTTATATTCATTTTAACTTTACTTTAAATTAAATAACTATAACTTAGTTCCATTAATTAAAAAAGTTTAAAAGTCAGAACTAATTAATCAACTTTTAATCAATAAGTATTTGATAGAACATTCACTGACAACAACTTAGACAACTGAATGACATAAAATAAAAAATCTACATTGTCTTTGAATATAATTTGATAAAGTTGGTATTCAAGTAAAAGTAAGAAAATGATAAACATATAGTAGTAATTTTAACAGAAACATTTTTATCATAGATAAAAAAAATGGGAAAAAAAATTATATAAAAACCGAAAAATATATTTTAACTATTATACAAATTTGTTTACAACAATTTATTTAAAACTTTATTAATCACTACATTTTACTTAAAAACTTATTATTTACTACAATTTATTTGAAAATTTATTAATTACTACATTTTATTTAAAAACTTATTATTTACTACAATTTATTTGAAAATTTATTATTTACTGCAATTTATTTGAAAAAAATATTTACTACAAATTACTTTAAAATTTATAATTTACTACATCTATTTCATATAGCTTTTTCCCCTGCATTTCAAGCCTTTGGAATTCTCTCCCATCTCTTTATGTTTTCCTGAATCATACAACCTACAATTTTTTTCTTTTAGTAACTCCCAACTTAGTATTGGTTGCTTGCAGCCTTATTGGGAGTAGGGTTCAGACTGTTGTAATTATTATTGTAAAAATTAAATACAATAACACATTACTATACAATAATATTGTATTGTAATACCAGAGATGCAATTAAAACATTATTTATTGTTATTGTATTGCTGTGATAAAAAACAGTTACAATAACTATTGTATTGTTTTTGTACTAAAAATACAACGAAATCCTAAAACTTTTATATTGTATTTTATATTGTAGAGTTATATAAAGCTTGCAACTAGGATAAGTGATATTAATAATCATATATTAGTTGTACCCTATTGAAATAGGGTACAAATAATATATGATTATTGATTTTATTTCTGGTCACATGACTAAGTTTTAACATTACAACAATTTTTTCATTACAATAAATTTTTTCATTACATTATTATAAAGATAAATTACAATACAATATTTATTGTCATTGTAGAGGGTCATTACATTACTTGTTTTTTTCCAGATATTGTTATTGTATTAATGAGATGAATTGCAATACAATATTTATTGTTATTGTATTACCGTATTACAAAAATTGTAAATCACAAGTTTCTAAAAAAAATAATACAATAACAATAGTTATTGTTTCTGTTATTGTTTTTATTACAATTACAACAGAACTCTTGTTGGGAGTGAGTCAGAAAAAAAATATTAAAAATTTATTATCAACTAAAATTTATTTAAAAACTTAATACTTACTACAATTTATTTTAAAATTTATTAATTACTACAATTTAATTTAAAATTTATTAATTACTACATATTATTTTAAAATTTATAACAAAAAAGTTAAAAAAATAAAGTAAAAAAAAACTAAAAAAATTAAAACTGTTTAACTAAGTTTAAAAATTACCTTTGTTCTATGTCCAATGAACCCACCACTGGCATATCAAGCTCATTATTTTCAATATCCACATGATAAATTTCCAATGTTGCTGATGTGCTTAAAAGAAAAAACATTTTTATTTATGTAATATATATTATCTAGTGAGTCATCTTATCTAAGCAAGAAAGATTTTCCTGAAGACAACTTTCAAAATTGACTTTAAAAATGGACATTTTTATTATTTCTTCAAGAAACTATAATTTAAATACTGTTTTTAAAAAATTACAAAGTTTATACTTTATAACATAAAGAACAAGATAAGCGTTGCTTTCTTATGTAGTCTCATTCATTTTCAATAATTTACGAACAAATACAAAACACACATATACACTGTAATAATTACCATAAATTAGTTAGCAGTAAACAACTGAGGTTTTGGGGCGTTAAAGTTCGTAAGCCCCTAACTATCACAGAAGAAAGATATTTTTACGAGATTTCTCATGGACCATATCAGATTTTGTTGAAGCTTTTTTATATATATATGAGAAAAGCATATCTTGAAACTTTCTGATCAATATCTAATACAGTTCTTAAAAAAAAAACACTATTTAATAAGTGAGCTGTTTTGCATTAAACTTACTGCTTCAAGCAATAAAGTTTTTTTCATCATTTTTTAACTAATAACTTTTGAACAAGTTGTTTTTATAATTTAATTTTATTGAAAAGCATAAAAAACTTATTTTTTGAGTTACAAAAATAAACATTGAAGGAATTGTTGTAACCCTTTGAACAAACACACACAAAATGTGAAAAATGAATTTTAATACAGTTTTCGTTTATAAATTTGAAACAATATTTAGTGATTATTATCTTTTAGAGTAATTAGCTAGAGATTTTGGTTTAATTCCAAGTAAGAAAATATGCACTAGTTGCAGGATAACACTGCATAGAAAACATCATGATACAAAAGAAAATAAGCCCTAAAAGATACTTATGTTGACAGCCTTACATTAAAAGAAGATCTTAATCTTAGTATTGCAAGTTTTGGATGCTCACCACCTATTGTATTTTAAACATATATATATATATATATATATATATATATATATATATATATATATATATATATATATATATATATATATATATACATATATATATATATATATATATATATATATATATATATATATATATATATATATATATATATATATATATATATATATATATATATATAGTATATTTATTACTGTTACCCGCAGTATCAGGAATTAGCTAAATGCTAATATTTATAATATTATATTGCGACTTAAAGTTTCATGTGTTACCACAATCATCAGGCAAGTAGTCAAAAGTTAATTTTGCTACAATGTGTTTAGGAAAAATTTACGGTTTATATTAGTATTTTAGATCGTTATGGGACGGAAACTGTTTAGTAGTTAAGGTTAATGTTATTATTAATTTGTTTTTGGTTAATATATGTGAAGTTGTTGTATGTTTTAATGTCTGTTATAAAAATACGATTTAATAATAATGTGAATTGTTTTTAAAAATTATTGTATTAAAAATAAATGAATATAAAAATAAGTTTCAAAAGTGGGTATAAGAATATAAATTATATTACGAAATATATTACAAAAGCTGTGTATGTGAATAATTTATTGGTTAGCCTAGAGGTGTACGAAATAGGGTTGCGTAGTTAATGTTAGTGGTTAGTTATGTTTGCAACTTGTTTTCGTGTATATATATATATATATATATATATATAATATATATATATATATATATATATATATATATTACTTTTTAAATGCCTGTTGCTCTTGCACTTTTTTAAGCGCAATTACTATTTTATTAAGTAATAAAATCTCATTTTAATTTATTTTATTAGTTAAAACCAGTTAAAACTAGTTAACTAATAAAATAATTTACATGCTTATGGTTTTTTTAATATCATTTATGATCAGAAAATATATTAGAAAAGTTTAGCCTTTGTATAGTTATGTTAACACATGCCGAGAAGAAACAGTTACAAAACTTTTTTTTAATTTGATAGAAGTTAAAGCTTCCATCAAATTGCAACAGATGCAACAGTAATAGATTAAGCAAACTCAAAACAAGTCATAATGCCTAACAGAACTATCATTGAAAAATGGGGGTTTAAATCCTGCAGATTCCAAACTGATGATTTAGGTGAAGCAATTTTAATATAGTGTAAAACTTGCCAAGAGTATTCAGAGATTTTAAAAAATTGTCATTATAAAAATAAAGGCTGCGCTAAATTAACAACAGAAAGGTTTGTACAGGGAACATCAGTTATAAAAAAAAATAACTTTTTAGACCATATTTTACATTCTCATACGCATACGGCAGCTGTTTTAAGATTAAGTGAAACGGAGAAAAAAACTCATGATACTATCAATTCTAACAAAGAAAGTGCTGCTGATTCCTCAGACATAGTTAAAGTCCAAACAACACTGGGACCTTATATAAGACGGCTTAATGCTGAACAGCATCAGCAATTAATTAAAAAGATGCAACCGGCACATTATACAGTCGTTAATGCAAATTTGCTGATGTATTATGCATCATTAGCTAATTTTTTCAAAACTACATTAAAAGTAAATGTTTAAAAATGTTTTAGTAAAGTTGTTTTAGTATTTTTTTTAAAAAAGATTTATTATGTAGTTAAATAGTAATCATAATTTTTGAGGATGTTTTGTGGGATCTTAGAATTTCTTAGTAGATTTTTAAAATTTTCTAAGGTTGATCTTGGTACTGCTTATTCAAAGGGGAAAACTGAAGCAGAAATGGTAGAATTAAGACCATCACCGAACCATTAAATACTGGCAAAATACGATATTACAGTGTTATAAATGATAGTAGCAGCTCTACATTGGATGAAAAGGAGTTGTTTCTAATGAAAATAGCACATGATGGTAAAATTCTTTTATTTGATAAAATCCAGTAAAAAGCTTGAAAATTAGGTGAAAATTAACTCTATTCACTATTATTTTTTAGGTGCTCCTGAATTTGCCTTGAAGTCTGTTGAAGATCTTGAAGATGCAGATGCAGAAGGATTAAAAGTGGCTTTAGAAGCATCTTTTATAAAATTAGAACTCTCTATTGATAGAGCACATCATGAAATAGGTCTACCCTCTGATGGTGCTTCTGTAAATCATGCTCTACATAGACTAATCAAAAATGAGCTAGGGAGTCATTATACTTCAAATTGGTGCCCCAGTCATCGTCTAGATGACTGGGGCACCAATTTTTGTGTCAATCTTTGTGTCAAGCCAATTGAATTATATTCAACACAGCAAAGCAAGATGTCCTTCTTCTAATTCAACTACTAAGTAAGATTTTACAGGATAACTCGTTGATTCTACCGTCATTAATAACAACATGCTCTACTACTTTAAAAACATAAGAGAAACTGGAAAAGCTATTACACCGTGAACACTTTAAAGCTATGCGAAGAGCAGAGGTACTTCTAATACCTCTGGTCTTCGCATAGCTTTAAACCAAGTTAAAAAATGTCTACATTTTTTAACTTGGTTAGTATGCTAACCAAGTTAAAAAATGTAGACATTGATTTATTTGTGGAAAGAGAAACCAGAAGAGAACTTGATAGTAACAACACACTATTTAAAGAAGATTATGTTATCAAAGGAAACTTAGATAAAGCGCTTGAAGAAGTTACTGATGAAATACTCAACATTATCTCCACGAGAAGCATTCCTAGTCTGCCTGGTATTTAAAGAACCCATTTTTCAACCAATAGCATTTCTACTTGATTCTAAATCGTACAAGATGTTAGAAATAGCGAAACTTATGGTAAACGTTAATGTGATAGCTACAAAGTTCTAAACTCTATTAGAAGCAAACAACTGTGATTTTATGCGCCTGGAAATGGAAGTTGTAGTGGAGCATACTAAAAGATTTATGCTTGGAAAATCGGAAGAAAAAGTGTGGCCGAATCTAAAAAAATACAACACCAATTAGGTATCATAAATATCCTACATATAGTGAAATTATCCATTGCAATGCCAACTTCCAATGCAGAAACAGAAAGGGTATTTTCAATTTTTGAGACAAATACTTTCTAATGATCACCAAAATATTTCTAATAAAGGGTTGAAAAGCATTCTCCATTTAAAATGCACGAGAAATATTGACAAAATGTTTAATGATCATGTTATAGAATTATTTTTGAACCCAAATGGCAAGGTAAGAAATAATCCAAGGCAGATACAGAGCCATGCTAATGTTAAGAAATCAAAAATACGCAAAAACAAAACCACTTCAGTAATGATTGTTTTGCAAACCCTTGTTTCTTCTGACAGTGAATCTTCTGATCAAGAAAATTTGATTTCTAACATTAACTTAAGCGATATTTCTGATGATGATTGGACAGAAAATAATGAGTAAATTATGAAAATACAACAATAAGACAATCGCCAATGTGCGGTAACATTGTTTATGTATAAGAAAAAAAAACTATTTTTAGTATTTTTAACTTTTGTTTTCCCTCCATCAATTTACATTTTTTTACAAGTTGATACTATACTACAATTAAATATTGAAAAACACCCCCATACTACTGGAGAATTAAATGCTTGTTTCTTGTAAAGGTTAAACAACCAGATGTAAACTGTCTACTCATTTTGTTAAACAATTTGCCATTTTGAACAAAATCTTTGCCTACAGCACATAAACTAAATTTGTATTTCTAAACGTTATTTTTTCTATGAGCAATCTAAAAAACCAATTAAAATCTAATCAATAAACTAAAACCTTTTTTTTGTAAAAAAATAAAAAATCACTAATTCATAAATTTGCTATATTCTTAATTTACTACACAAAATTTAATTACTACATTCTTTAAAATATTATTGTCCGAAGCTTTGCAATTCATCTATTAGGCTGGCGCAGATGTATTTTTAATACATTGTTTCCAGTTTAGGATGTTGAACGCTGGATCTTCTTGACTCAATGCGTGGGTATTGCTTGTGTCTCTATTTTTATGACTGGGCAACTCATTCTATTATCTCCTAATGAGGGTACAGCTCTAAAACTCAGTTTTATGGTTCTGAGGCCGGCTGGTAGTCAGG